GGGAAAGAGAGTCACAGGTTTCCTAGCTCCTGGAATTCTTAGCCTAGGGTTTGAAGCTGGTGTGACGTACTTAAAATATATGTATATTGTGATAGAATATACATAATATCCAATTTATCATCTTTATTGTTTTTTATTGAGGTACAGTTGATTTGCAACATTGTGTTAGTTTCAGGTGTAATTTTAACCATTTTTAAGTGTACAGTTCACTGGCATTAAGTACATTCATACTGTTGTGCAGCCATCACCACCATCCATCTTCAGAATTTTTCATCTTTCCAAACTGAAACTCTGCACTCACTAAACACTAATGCATTATCCCCCTCTCCACAGCCCCTGGCACCCACCGTCTACCTTCTATCTCTATGGATTTGACTGCTCTGGGGACCTCATATAAGTGGAATCATACAAAATTGATCCCTTTTATGATTAGCTTCTTTCACTTAGCATAATGTCCTCAAGGCTCATCCATTTTGTAGCATGGGTCAGAATTTCCTTCCTTTTTAAAAATAAATTATATATATATATATTATTTTATTTATCCATTCACTCATCCATCGATAGACATGGGTTGCTTCCTCCTTTTGGCTATTGTGAATCATGCTGCTATAAACATGGTTTTATAAACATAAATATTTGTTCAAGTCGCTGTTTTCACTTCTTTGGGGTTTATACCCAGAAGTGGAATTGATTCATATGGTAACTGTACGTTTGATTTCTTGAGGAATTGCTGTAGCATCCTGATTCCCGCTCTTAGGGAGCCTGCCAGGCTTCAGCCTCAGGCGTTCCCGAGGCTGTGCCTCCCCGAGGGTGGACCTGGGCCATCTCCACCAGATCCATTTGGGGAGACCCCTGTCACCCACCCCTGCCTCCACCCACTCTGGGCGAGGGCCTGGGTCTCTGTTTCCACAGGTGAATCCACCTCGCCAGTGGCCCGCTGTGCACATCTGATGCTAGTCACCCTGGTCAGGCTGTTCTGGAAGCTTGAACTGAAAGAACCTCAGACCAGGTGGTGGTCACACAGAGAGGCCCCTTCAGGGAAGGGGCAGCACTCACGGCTCCTATTAGCATCTTGCCACACAGAAAAGTGGCAAGACGGCCATGGTTTTTAAAAGTTATTGTATTTCTCCAAAGAAGACATGCAGATGGCCAACAGACCCATGAAAAGATGCTCTACATGGTTAATTATTAGAGAAATGCAAATCAAAACCCCAATGGTTATCACCTCACACTGTCTACAAATAATAAATGCTGGAGAAGGTGTGGAGAAAAGGGAACCCTCCTGCACTGTTGGCGGGAATGTAAATGAGTGCAGCCAGCCACTATAATAAACAGTATGGAGGTTCCTTAAAAAAAAACAACCGAAAATAGATCCAGCAATCCCACTCCTGGGCATATATCCAGAAAAGATGAAAACTCTAATTTGGAAAGATACAGGCACGCCCATGTTCATGACAGCACTATTTACAATAGCCAAGACATGGAAACAACTTAAGTGTCCATCAACAGATGACTGGTTTAAGAAAATGTGAGATCTATATAGAGAGACATAGATATACAGAAGAATAGATACTCAGCCATAAAAAGAATGAAATATTGCCATTTACAGCAACATGGATGGAACTAGAGATTATACTAAGTGAAGTAAGTCAGAGAAAGACAAATATTATATGCCATCCCTTACATGTGGAATCTAAAAAATAATACAAATGAATGTATATACAAAACAGAAACAGACTCACAGACATATAATACAAACTTATGGTTACCAAAGGGGAAAGGGAAGGAGGGGTAAATTAGGAGTATGGGATTAACAGATACACACCACAATACATAAAACAGATAAGCAACAAGGATTCACTGTATAACACAGGGAACTATATTCAGTATCTTGAATAACCTATAATGGAAAAGAATCTGAATATAGATCTAGATCTCGGATAGAGACAGAGGTAGGTATCTGAAGCCTTTGCCGCACACCTGAAACGAACACGATGTTGTACTCTTCAACTATACTTTAATAAAAAGTTACAATTTTAACAACCCTATTGAGATGCAAGTCACATATATATGAGATACAATCCACCCATTTAAAGTATACAGTTCAATGATTTTTAATATATTCACAGGGTTGTGCAACCGTCGCCACGATTTGACCTTAAATATTTATTTATTTATTTATTTTGGCTGAGCCAGGTCTTAATTATGGCACGCAGGATCCTTAGTTGCGGCATGCGGACTTCTTAGTTGCAGCATGCGGGATCTAGTTCCCCAACCAGGGATCAAACCTGGGCCTCCTGCAGTGGAAGCACAGAATCTTACCCACTGGACCACCAAGGAAGTCCCCCCACGATTTGGTCTTAGAATATTTTTGCCCCCAAGAAGAAACCCCTTAACTATGGCACAGTCTCTCCCCTTCCCCCTCAACTTCCTGTCTCCGTGGATTTGCCAATCTGGACACGTCACATGAGTGAAATCCAACCACGTGTCCTCTTGTGATTGGCTTCTCTCACTGAGCATCATGTTCCCAAGGTTCATCCATGTCGTGTCATGTGTCAGGGCTTCATTCCTTCTTATGCCTGAATTATATTCCATCGAGAGGAGGGCCCACATTTTGTTTATCCATTCGTCTGTTGATGGACATTTGGGTTGTTTCTACCTTTTGACTACTGTTAATAATGCTGCTATAGACATTTGTGTACACGTTTTTGTGTGGACATATGCTGTCATTTCCCTTGGGTACATACCTAGACGTAGAACTGAGATTCTGTGGTAACTCTATGTTTAAGTTTTTATGGACCTGGCAGACTAGCTGCACGACTTTACATTCCCACCAGCGTGTGACGTTCCGACTTTGCCACACCCTCGTCCACACTTGTTATTGTCTCTTTTGATTTTAGCCATCACAGTGCATGTGAAGTGGATCTTGTGGCGGTTTTGATTTGCATTCTCCTGATGACTAAGGTTGTTGGGTTTCTCTGCATGCAAGGCTGTGTTTCACACACATTCAGCAACCAGGCGTCCCCACGTAGTCATTTGGCTGGGTTCCCGGGATGTTGGCAGACCCAGACAGACACAGCCCTGCCCCACAGAGGGGTACAGACATGTAAACAAAGCAGGTACTTGCTAAGAACAGGGTCCTGGGACATCACCCACAAAGTGCCCCATGAGCCACAATCCAGACAGGCCTAAAGGGCACCAGAGGGAGGGAAAGTCACAGTGAGGTCTTCGTTCCAGATCTTCGATAAAATCAGAGCAGAGATGTGAGTGTTGGCAGCCTGTTGGAGTTGGTCACAGAACATAACTATTCTTTTTTTTTTTTTTTTTTAAACTATGCAGCGTGCTGCTTGTGGGATCTGAATTCCCCCAACTGGGGACTGAACCTAGGCCTTTGGCAGTGAGAGCTTGGAGTCCTAACCACTGGACCGTCAGGGGAGTCCCAGAGCATAAATATTCTTAATCTTAAAGTTGACAGCAGACATGGCAGGGGTCCGGAGAGATGGCCGAGCCTCCTGGATGGATGGTCCCAGGTCCCAGGACCGCGGTGCGAACTTGGGCTGTGTGGTGGACTGCAGCCACGTTCCATCCCCACCCCGGCCTCCAGGATCCCCCATTAGACGGGTGACAGCCTTGCAAAAACACGACGGGACACAGGGGAAGGGCGAGTGCCGGGGTCTGGCGAGGCTGGGGAGCCGGTGTCTCCTGGATGCAGAGCTTGGCCTTGGAAGGTTAGGAAGTCGCGAGGGGGTGGTGGTTTGCACAACAGTGTGAACGTACCTAACGCCACCGCACTGCGCCCTGAAAACGGCGAGAACGGCAACTTGTAGGTTGTGTGTTCTTTGCCGCAACGATAATGAAAAGGTCGTGCTCACTCTGGGCTCTGACGCAATGAAAACGAAGCCAACAGCGTAGCTGGGATCGGCTGCTCCGGCGAGGTCCCGCCCCGCCCAGACGGCCACCTGCGCCCCGCTACGGCCTCACCTCCGTGCCTGGCTGCTCGGCCCGGTTCGGGCGCAGAGCCCGGGCCGCGCGGGGGGATCCACGGCCATCGCCGCGGGAGCCGCGGGCGGCGGAGCGGAGCCGACAGAGCCACCGGCCCCGGCACCAGCTGACCCACCTGGACACCCCTCACCCCGGACCCGGGGGACACCCCCATGGCCGCGCGCGGCCCCGAAGCCCCCAGCGGGCGCGCGCTGCGGGACGCGGTGAGTCGGACCCCGCGCGCGCCAAGCTTCGCTCCCGGGCTGGACACCCTC